CACTGTCGAAGCACGTGATGATGTTCCTGCGCCCGCCCTGACCTGGTTCATGGTCGCGATCCTCGGGGGTGAAGTATGTTCGCTGCGTCCAGGTGTGACGAAACCGATTGCCCGCGTCGGTGACCTTCGCAGGGAGCCCATGGCTGAAGGCCTGAATCCGCAGCTGTCGGTCAGGATGGTCCCCGTCCAGCGCATGAACCGTTCAGGCCGCCTAGAGAGCTCACGTCTGGACGCCGGGCGCAGGTACGGTGGTATCATTGCTCAGGCACTACCCGTCCGCCGAAGCCCGGCAACCATTCCTCCTTCCTCGGGTTCAGGCTTTTCACACCGTTTCCGCGTCTCACCGGCAGGGAACAGCGGCGTTGGCGCCCGGGGCCCGGGGGGTGTGTATCTCCCAGCGCGGGCCGACCCGTCGGGTGCTGCAACTGGAAAGATGAAGGCCGATGTGGTCATTTCTTCTGCTGTCCGGTTGGTCTGTTTTTGCATTGATCATCTCCCATGGCGATTCAGTATGCCGTGGGAGAAAATAACGAGTTTCTTACCGGCCTCAGCTCATGGCAGCCCTGCTGTGGCGCTATTTTGTGTTGCTGAGGAGTGAGGCCGTGGCGCGCTCTCCCGGAGCATCTTTTGGGTAGGGGTTTTCGGGCCCTCGGCCTGGTGCGGGGGAGACGGAGACGGGCGGACAAGGGACTATGTACTTTCTCTACGCCGACGTTGTATTCCCAATCCGGCCCTGCTCGTGTTTCCTGGGGCTGATTCGGATGCTTGGGTGGGTTCTTTCCTTCGCGGTGTTGGAAGGCGGGTTTCTCATCATCTTGGCGGCTGCTGGTGTTCGGGGTGCCGCCGGTGTACGCCGTGGGTACGCCGGACGCTGTGTTATGGGCCACCTCACTCATCCCACCCATCTGAGACAGCACCGACCAGCGGCACCGTGCGGTACAACGTCTCGATTTCACACAAGCTGGTGCGCTGATGGTTTACCATCCCACCGACGGCAACCAGCTTTCACCACCTTTCGCTCCCCAACTACTTCCCCGCCATTTTCCTGGCGGAGTTGGTGAACGGACGCTGGAGTCGGCCAGGGATCGCGGGGACCGGTCATCCGCCTACCTCTACGTGGGATTCTTCCTGGCTGTCGCTGGGCTGTTCATCCTCTACGACTTCTGGCGTACCTGGATGCGCCGGGGCAGCACCGAGCCGAGGGCGAGGACATACACCACCGCCGGGCTCACCGCAGAAATGTCTGCGCGCCGACTTTCCTGCGAATTCCGGCCGCACCGTGTCGGCAGACCGGTGTGTGGCGGCATCCTCCACCTACGTTGCCTGCCCGTCTCGGCATCGAGCGGATATCGTTTTCCGTGCCGATGGGCAGCGGGTTCGCGTGATCGGGTTCATCGCCGGTTCTGCTGGAGCGGGCGGGTTATCCTGATGCCTGTGCTGATCTTTGTTCTGGAAGTACCACGACCATCGCCATCGGCACCGTACCTGTTTCAGATCATATCACCGGGTCGTGTGTGGGTCGTTCGCCTACGCCTGTCTTCCGCGTGGACCCGCGCATGGCCGTGCTGATGCTGCGTGCGGCGTCCATTGGCTCGCGAACTCTCGGAGCCAGCGCCACGCAGAGGTGGATCCGTCGCGTTCCGGTTCCTCTACGGGTTGCTGATTCATGACGGGAGCCGTGGCGGGTGTGGCGCTTAGAGGAGGTCATCGCAAGCCGTGGCGTGTGCGGAATGTCCTTTCGGAGTCCTGTCCAAAAGCATCGGTGTGCTGCTGCGGGCTCAGCGGCGGAGGATGTGCTCGTGCTGCTGTTCATGATGGCCCGATCAGGCAGCGCCGGACTCGGCGGAGGCACTAGCGCGAGGGCCTGTTACGACCCCTCGCGTCCACGCTGCAGGATGATCCACAGCTTGTTCGACGTCGGTGAGACTCTCGCCGATAATCTCTGGGCGCAGGAACCGCTTTCGGGTATAAAAGTATCCGTGCAGCGTGTTTGCCGTGTTCCCAAGGTTCCGCAATCGTGTGTCCCCAGTTAGATCTTGAGCCTGATACATCACCGTAAAGAACTCGTCGTGCCGGGCGTACTTCCAGCCTCGGGACTCTGCTACGGCCTTGGCCATCCACGCGGCCGCACCCCAGCCCTTTTCTGCAGCCTTGTGCAAGTCGCTCTCACTTCCAGTCTCCCGGCCTTTGGACAGGAATTCCCGGGATTGCTGCCGGTAGTCGGCAACTACGGCATCGCCGTTTTCGTAGGGTTCCATTGGAACGGACTGGCTCATATCACTGACTCTGTCCATGTTCAGTGAGAGGCTGCAGGATGTCGAGCAGTAGTTCCATATCTGTCAGACCTTCCGCCGATCGTATGCATACAGCACTATCAGCTCGCGTTCGTATGAATTGCGTGTATGTGCTGGCGGTGTCTGTTCACGTGTCTCAGCTGCCGTCGCCCGTTAGTTCCCGGGCTTGGTGCATAATTTTGAAACTCGCTGTGCCTCGTGTATTTCCAGCTGCGGGCCTCTGCTACGGCTTTGGCCATCCAAGCGGCCGCACCCCAGCCTTTCTCGGACGCTTGGTGTAAGTCGCCATCATTGAGATAATTCCGGGCTCTCCCCAAGAACACTCTCGATTGCTCACGAAAGTCCGTAATGGACTCGGCATCTTGTTCGAAAGGTTCGATTGGGGCCTTGTCATCGTCCATATTTCTGAATCCCCTCGGCAGCTCATTGACTGAGTAAACCCTACCCCGTCAGATCCCGCACGGTGCGCTCCACCAGCTCCCACGGGACGTCCTGACGCACCACCGAGCGGCCCACTTCCTCCAGCATGACCCAGCGGTTAGTGCCCGACTGCACCTTCTTGTCCAGCGACATGGCCGTCAGCACGTCCTCGGCGGCAATACCGGGGGCGCTGATGGGCAGGTTGAAGCGCTCCAGCAGCCGCTGCTGGCGGTCGACTATGGTCGGGAGACATCAGGCCCATCTCGGCAGCCATGCGGGCTGCCCCATCATGCCCACCGACACGCCCTCGCCGTGCAGGAAGCGGCCGTACTCGGTGGAGGACTCCAGCGCGTGGCCGATGGTGTGGCCGTAGTTGAGCAGGATGCGGATGCCCAGGGTCTCGCGCTCGTCCTGGCTGACCACCTCGGCCTTGATGGCCATGCTGCGGCGGATGACCTCGGCGGAGATCTCGGGGTCCACGTCCATCAACGCCTCGGCGTGCTCCTCGAACACGTCCACCAGCTCGGCGTCGAGGATGAAGCCGTGCTTGATGGCCTCGGCCCAGCCCTCGGCCAGCTCCCGCTTGCCCAGGGTGGACAGCGCCGCGGCGTCGGCGAAGACGCCCTTGGGCTGGTAGAAGGCGCCGACCAGGTTCTTGGCCATGGGCAGGTTGATGGCCACCTTGCCGCCGATGGAGGCGTCGACCATGGCGGCCATGCTGGTGGGCACCTGCACGAAGGCCATCCCCGCGCAGGAAGGTGGCGGCAACGAATCCGCCCAGGTCGCCGGCCACTCCGCCGCCGACGCTGATGATGGTGTGGCCGCGCTCGGCCCGTCGCTCGGCCAGCCAGTGGTAGATGGCCTGGGCCAGCTCGAAGCTCTTGCTGGACTCGCCGGCGGGGATGATGAAGCAGTGGGCCGGGATGCCCGCCTCCTGCAACGACCGCTGAACGCGCCGCCCGTAGGGGTTCATCACGTTCTCGTCGGTGATGATGTAGGCCGCGCCCCGGACGCCAACGTCCACGAGCCGCTCGCCCAGGTCGTCGAGGATACCCCACCCCGCCACGACGGGGTAGGAGCCGCCGGAGTGGTGAACAGTGGCGGCCAGGTTCGAGTCAGTCATGGTGTGCCTCCCGTTGTTTTATGGCTATGCCAGGAATTCCTGCCAGTAACGCAGTGCTTCGCTGAGTGTCTCTGCTATCCAGTCGAAGAACCGGGGTGCTATTTCGTTGGCGTCATTGTCCCATACAAATGTGAAGGGATTAGTGGAACAATTCCGGTAGTTTTCGCCAAGCGAAGGGTTTTCCTGCTCAATGAAACCATGCGGGTGAAATTCAATCAGAGCATGTGCCGTAGCCGCCATTACTCCGCTCAATTGTCTTCCGATGTGATGCAGTGAAATCAGAAAAGTAAGTCCAGGATAGCCCCCGTGTCCCTGAGCCATTGGGGTCATCGAGAGTCTTATTAGGAGAAACTCTCTTCGTTGAAGTTGGCCCAGTGTCCGGCTTCCTGCGCTGCCTTGACTATCTGACTTGCGTACCAAGTCTTCCATGCACTTTGGCTTCCGTTGTAAACGTCACAATAAACTCGCAGATTTGCTTCGAGTAACCTTTGCTGTATGTACTCGGCTTGGGTTTTAAGGTATTCCTCAGACCTTTCCGAGAGGACTCTGCCAATATCTGTGACCGTACGGAGACTAAGTTCTTCATTTTCGTCCCGACTGCGAACTTGGTTCACGATGCTACCTACAGCCTCACTAACGCGGAAAGAAAAATGCACTGGTTCCGCATCTACGGCAAAGTCTAGTTTCTTTTCCTTAGGCGGCTTCATCGGCCCAGGCTCTGCAAGAGCCTCCGTAATGGTTCCCTTTTCTCGTTGAACAAGGAAATCAACGAAATGGTCCAAATGACCGTGATCTGCCGCTTCCAGCGCTTCGATATATTCGGGGCGTTCATCTCTGGAGACTACAACGGAGAGATAATCCTCTCTGACTAGGTGCCAAGTGAGCAACGACCGCGCGACTCTTCCATTCCCGTCTTGGAAAGGATGAATCTGTGAAAAGGCGTGATGCAGCCACGCGGCAATCAGCATGGGATGGTAGCCCTGCGTCCTGTGTGCGGCATGCCACTCCACCAGATTGTCAATTTCGCTGTCCACATGCACGGGCGGACAGTATTCGTGAATTCTGCCGTCGGGTCTCGTTGGATTATTCGGCAAGGTTTTGAACCCGCCCCGGTCGAGCGGAGTCTCGAATCGGTTGCCGAACTGGTCGTATGCAGTGTAGGTGGGCAGATGTTCAGTTAGGATGACATGAAGCTGACGAATGAAGGACTTTGTTAGAGGATTGCCCTCGCGTATGTAACCGTATACTGCCTCAGCAGCCTGCCGGTGGTCTTCAAGCACCGATACCAATTCAATTGGGTCCTTGTTAGTGGCGCTGCGGTCAATCAATTCCGAATTGAAGCCGCGCTGGACCAGCGTTTCAGTAACGCCCTTATCGAGGGTGTAAATTCCTTCTATAATTCCGGTCTCAATGGCCCAGCTCCTATCAAGGCGCTCCAAGAAGGCATTGTAGGCCTGCGGATTGGACTCCTCACGCCGTTTCCTTATGCTCAGCCACTGCCGTTGCAGAGAGTCTATCTCGCTGAAGTCATAGGAGCAGCAAATGACATTGAGCGCTGGATAGGGGTCCACCTGTATGCAATTCTGGGGTTCGCTTCAGCCATAGCTAACCTCCCGAACCCTTTACGCTAATTCCACACATCCCCCCAACCCTCTCCGCCACCCCATCCGCCGTCACCCCGTCGGTCTCCACGGTGTGGTGCGCCTGCGCGTAGGCGGGTGCTCGCTGGGCCAGCAGCTCGGCGATGCGCGCCTCCGGGTCGTCGACGGCCAGCAGCGGGCGTATGGGGCCGCCGGCGTCCTCCTCCCGCACCCGACGCAGGATCTCAGTGGGACTGGCTGACAGGAAGAACACCCGCCCGCCCGACAGCATAACGTCGCGGTTCTGCGGACTGACGAACGAGCCGCCGCCCGAGGCTATGACCTGCCGCTCTCCCGCGCAGAGGTCGGCGATGACCCGGCTCTCCAACTCCCGGAAGGCTGGTTCGCCGTCTTCGCTGAAGATGCGGTGGATCGGCTTGCCCGCCCGCTCCACAATCACGTCGTCGGCGTCGACGAACGCCCATCCGGTACTGTCCGCCAGCGCCCGGCCCACGCTGGTCTTTCCCGAGGCCATGAAGCCCACGAGGACTATGTTGCGCGGCAGCTCGGCCATGTCGGTCCGCCGGGCGCTCCCGTCAGTCGGGCAGGCGGGTCAGGTGCATCCGCGAGCCCAGGCTGGTCTCGGTGTCGAAGTACAGCACCTGCTGGCCGATGGAGTTGGTGGCGGGCGCGTCGGCGATGAACTGCAGCCCTCGGTGCTGGCACTCCGGCATGCAGGTCGGGATGTCCCCCAACCACATAGCCCACGTGGTCCATCTGGTGCACGCCCGCGGGGATCACGGAAGGATCGCCCGGCTCGATCAGCTCGACCTGCACCTGCCCGAAGTTGACGAACGCGTTGCGCCCGCCCCGCGGCGAAGGGCCGCCGCCTACGTGAGTCCCCGAGAACCGCTGCACGTACCACTCGATGGCCGCATCCGCGTCCCGGACCAGGTACCCCGCGTGGACGATCCGCTCCACCTCCAGGCCCTCGCCGTCGAGGCCCGATGCCGCGGACGCCAGCTGCGTCAGGTGTACGAACGCGCCGTTGGTGGTTTCTGTGTCTAGGTAAAACACCTGATGGCCGAATACGTTGACGAACGGCTCCTCGCTGCCGAAGGCGAACCCCTTGGCCCGCAACTCCTCTGCCGCCTGCTCCATGTTCGCCACCACGTAGCCGACGTGGTGCATGTCCAGCACCTTGCTGCCCACCCCCGACTTGTCCTCCGGCTCGATGATCTCCGCCTCCGCCTGCCCGAAGCGAACGTAGGCGTTCCGCCCCCCCGCTGGGCACGGCGTAGCTAGGCGACAGCGGCCCTCCGCCGGCGTTGACCGCGCCGAACGACCGCTCGAACCACTCAACGGCGGCCTCTAGGTCAGACGTCAGGTACCCGATGTGCTGAATCTTGTCGAACATGGCTGGCCTCCAATTGACCACTACCCTTCGTTAGGGGGCAGTTACGGGCTTAAGACACTAGGTGGCCGGGTTCGATGCCGGCCTCCGCACCTACAAATAACCTTGCTACTAAGAGCAGGATTACCATAGTTGGGGTTTTGAACTCGAATAATTTTCGCGCGGGTCGCAAGATATTTATCATATCTTTTACCTCTCCTGAATCTAATTTGCTCACTAGACGAAAGACCTGTCCAGGATGGGCGGTAAGAGAGGTGCAGAGACCAGCACTAATTCCAGCTACCTTTGTGCCTCCTAGTGGCTTAAGCCCGTAACCTACAGGGCACTACCCGCCTAGCAGCTGGTCGGCCGCGGCGGCGCAGGCGCGTATCCCGACGACGTGCAGAACTCGACGCGGTTGCCGTCCGGGTCGTGGATGAACAGGAAGGCCTGGCCGTCGTAGCGCACGCCCTCGCGCTCGATCTCGAAGCCGTTGTCGGCCAGGGTGGCGCGGGTGCCCTCGAAGTCCTCCACCTCAAAGGCGTGGTGGATGCGGTCGGGCTTGGCCGGCGCCTCCTGCGTCTCGATCAGGTGCACCATGATGCCGCTGTCCAGCTGCAGCCAAGTGATCTCGGGGTTGTCCACCTGGCTCTCGATCTGCTTGATGCCCAGCAGGTTGTTGTAGAACTCCATGGCTACGGCGGTGTCCTTGACCATGGTGGTCACGTGGTTGATCTTGGTGGTGGAAATCAGTCCGGGCATGGGGCCTCCTCGCCATCTCAATTTATGCCCCACGATTATGCCATGGGCGTAGATGGCGGGCTATACGCCTCCGCAACAGCCGGCTAGACGCACCATCTAACCCAAGCGACAACTCTGATTTCCTGACACTTGCCCCTTGCCATGCGCCCTGTTTACCACGTACGATGGATACACATTTAAGAACACTAGTGCTTAAATAGAGCTAGTTCCCAGAGTGCTTTGAGGCCATGCGATGGACAGTGCTGGAAATTGAGAGATCAAACGCTTTTCACAGTCTCCAAACCGGTTTCTCCACGCCGGCTTGCCCGCCCGTAACTGTCGAGGAATTCCCCGAAAGTACCGGAAATTACCGGGTTTTTGAAAATCTCCTGCCCTGCCGGTCGGCGATCCGGGAGCCTTGGCCCAAGCGACCCGGTCCCTCAGGAATTGATGAAAATGAGCCGAAATGCTCGGAAATGCTCGGAAAATCAGGATTTCTCATCCGCTCGCAGCCGGGCCGCTGCCCCCTACAGCTGGCTGCCCAGCACCACCAGCGCCACGCCTCCGACGGTGATGGCGGTGCCCATCACCAGCCAGCGATTGACGTTCTCCTGCACCGACAGGAATATCGCGGCCAGGATGAGCGTGAAGAGCGGATTGGCGGAAACGATGGGCGAGACCACCACCACGTCCGCGCGCTGCAATGCCATGTAGGTGCAGTTGACGCCCGTGGCTGCCGCCAAACCCGACAGGCCGGCGTAGACCAGGAACCCCGGCGACCGGCGCGCCTCGCCGATGGACGCTATCGCCTGCTTGGCGGCCACCGGGGCCACCAGCAGCAGACCGAAGAACAGGCTGATGGTCGACACCACCAGCGGCGACGTGTAGTCGATGGTCAGCTGCTTGACCACCACGTTGGTCGTGCCGTAGCAGCAGGCCGCCCCGAAGGCCATCAGATAGCCGATCAGCACGGACCTTCGCTCCCGTCCCTCGGCGGGTTTAGGGCCGGGAGAGGATGATTGGCCTCCGCCTCCCAGGATGTTCCGGCCCAGGGCGGTGGCCAGCCCCGCAACCACCACCAGCGTGCCCAGCAGCACGACCCAGTGAGGCCTCTCGCCGGTGAATACAATGGCCAGAATGGAAGCAAACACCGCCGACGTCCCCACGATGGCCCCGGCCCGGGCGGCCCCGATCCGTCCCACGGCCAGGTACGACAGGTTGCGTCCGCCCAGGAAGTTGAACGCCCCCAGCATCACGCACCACGCCAGCACGATCAGGGGCAGAGTGATGAAGTCCGAGGAGACGAATACCAGGGCAAGGATTCCCGATGCCGCGAAGCTGAATAACAGGGAGATGAAGGTAATCGGGAGAGCACCAACCCTGCCCATCCCCAGGCGGGCGAAGATGGTCGCGCTGCCGAACCCCATAATCGCCAGGAAGGACAGACCGATGGCGGTCATCGCATCGCCTTCATTTCGGTCATAACTGCCCTCCCAGGGCCACGGCCACCACCCCTGCCACTCCGATAATCGCGCCGGTAATCAGGCGCCAGTTTAGCTGCTCCAGCCGGGAGATGAATACGTGGGAAAACAGCAGGGTCCAGAGCGTGAAGGTTGCCAGGATGGGGGCGACGATAACGACGTCGGCCCGCTGCACCGCGAAGAGCTGGGATGTGATGGACACCGCGGTACTCAGGCTTGAGAGGATCACGAAGCCCATGGATTTCCATTCGAACGTCCTGATGGCAGGTTTGCGGGCGGCGATGACGCTCACGGCGGGTACTACGATGAACATGGCGGCCAGCATGCCCAGCGCAACGATCGTCAGGGGAGAGTTGAATACGCTCACAGCCTGCTTGGCCAGGACCGTGCTCGCGCCCGTGGCCGCCCCGCCAGTCAGCCCGAAGAGGCATCCGATGAGATAGCGGCGGTCGGCGCGCCAGCCCTGGGTGAGCGAGTCTCCGCTGGCCAGCAGCAGGCCAATGATCACGGCCACAGTGCCCACCGCAACCAGGGGCTTGAGGGACTCCCCGATAAAGGCGATGGCGAAGAGAGCGGAAAAGGGGACTGATGTCGATATGAAAAGGGCAGTCCGCGACGCCCCAATGAAGCTGACTCCCGAATAGGCGACGGTACGCCCGATGGCGAACTGCACCACTCCGAGGGCCACGATCCAGAGCCATGCCTCCTGCGGTACGTTGAAGAGGTTGGAAGGGTCCAGGGCCAGGTCCACGATCACCACGCCAACGAACCCCACCACCAGCGCCACGCCGATGAGTGCAATGGGATGGACTCCCGGCATTGCCCCCCGGGCTGCCACCGCGCCGCCGCCAAGGCTGGCCGCCGCCACCAGGGAGAGAATTATGGCAACCATCGTATTCCTGCTCCCGGTGATGGGAATCCCTTCGCCCCTTGTGAGAGGGCCAGGGTGAGGTCATTTCCTCCCTTCACAGCTGGCCGCCCAGGGCCACCGCAATTACACCTGCCACCGCGAGGACGGCGCCGACGACAACCAGCGGGTGCAGAGCCTCTCCGGCAAAGGCGATGGCGAAAAAGGCGGCAAAGGGCGCTTGGGCCGCAATGAACAGAGAGGTCCGGGACGCTCCCACGATGTTGATGGCTACCATTCCGAAGGAGCGGCCCCCGATGAGCTGCGCCACTCCAACTGCTATGGGATGCGCGCCCTGCATCGTGCCGCGGGCCGATACCGCCACCCCGCCGAGTCCGATCGCCCCCAGCAGGGCGAGGGCGATTGCAATCATTCGGGCAGGTTAAGTCCGGCTCACGCTGTCAACAATCGACTGGAAGATCAACGCTCCGTCGGTCCCGCCCAGCAGTGCCTCGCAGCACCGCTCCGGGTGGGGCATCATGCCCAGTACGTTGCCCGCCTCGTTGATGACGCCAGCGATGTTGCGGGCCGAGCCGTTGGGATTGGCTGCATCCGTAGATTCGCCGGAGTCGTCGCAGTAGCGGAAGAGCACCCGGCCTTCGCGCTCAAGCATGTCCAGCGTTTCTGCGTCGGCGTAGTAGTTGCCCTCGCCGTGGGAGATAGGCACCTGCAGGACCTGTCCCGCCTTGCAGGTCGATGAAAACCGTGTGTCGCTGCGCTCCACGCTCAGGTTGGTCCACTGGCATCGGTACTCCAGCTGCCGGTTGGCCCGCAGCGCCCCGGGCAGGAGGCCCGACTCGCAGAGAATCTGGAAGCCGTTGCAGATGCCGATGACTGTGCCGCCCGACTCTGCGAATGCGTAGAGGGCGTCCATCACGGGAGACAAGCGGGCCATGGCGCCGGGGCGAAGGTAGTCGCCGTAGGAGAAGCCTCCGGGAAGGATCACGCAGTCCAGCCCCTCCAGGGAGGTGTCCTTGTGCCAGATGTAGTCCGCTTCCTGGCCCAGGACTGCGCTGACGGCGTGGTGGCAGTCGGTGTCGCTCCAGGTGCCGGGGAACTGCAGGATTCCGAAACGCATGCGTGACTAACCGAGAGAGTCCAGTATCTCGCCAGCGAGGCGGTTGACCTCGGCGCCGTCGGCCTTGCCACGAACCTGGGGCATCAATCGTCCCATAACCTTGCCGCGATCGCGCGGGCCGGCGGCGCCGACCTCGGCAACGACCTGGCGGATCAGGTCCATGATCTCGTCCTGGCTCAGTTGCGGGGGCAGGTACTCCTCCAGCACTGCCAGGTCCGCGGCCTCCTTGTGCGCCAGCTCGGTGCGCCCACCGTCACTGAAGGCCTTGACGCTCTCGCGCCGGTCGTTGACCTGCTTGGAGACCACCTCGATCATGGCTTGGTCGTCCAGCGTCTCGCGCCGCTCCTTTTCCACGGCTTGCACCGCGAACTTCAGGAACCGCAGCGCGTCCACCCGCTGCTGCGCGCGCTGCCGCATGGAGTCCTTGATGTCTTCTTCGAGCCTGTCTCTAAGCGTCATGGTCGTTCCCCGCCCGCGGCAGGATGTAGTCTGCCCGATTGCCGTCCATTCATTTTACCCCCTGCACGCCCCCCGCGCGAATTCACGATGCCTGAACCGGAGGGCAAATCGCGTCTTAAACGCCGGAGGCCCTATCTGTCGTCTTTCCCGCGCAGGCGGGAATCCAAACCCCCGTCTACCCTCGCACCCAGACCCAAAGGAGGCATTGCCACTCCCATATACACCGACACTAGACCAATTTTGTGTGCTGAGAATTAAGACGCGATTGCCCTGGCCTGAACCGCTAGCCATCCTCCCGTGCCGATCTGATAGAATATATGTACTATATAAGTTATGCGGCAAGGAGGCCTCCAAGAAGATGGGCATGCCAAGAGAGTACTGCCGCTGGCGCAACGAAGTGCTTTATATCCTGAAAAGCCGACAGGACAGCCAGTTCCCGACCTCTCGGGGGAGAGCCGGAATTCTCCCGGCCAATCCGGAAAGTGCCGGAGGTGTCCGAAATTGACCGCAAATGCGACCTTTCGACTGAAGCAGCGAATGGACATCCTCATCGTCCAACCACTCAAACGCGTTTGTCACAAGTGCATATGTCCCACCGACGACAGTGGGGCAAGAACCCCAAAAGGCAGGGAATGGCAGGAAATGGCAGGGATTTCCATACCCCTGACACGACACCGGGCTTGGTCTCCGACCTTCGCAGACGCTCTTGGGCACCTTTTTCGGGAGCTCCAGAAGTCTGGCCAAGAGATCCCTCATCACCAAGGGAAAACGTTGACGCAACTCCTGGGCTGGCCTGTACGACACACTCGACGGTTCCTGCATCGCCCACAAAAGGTGGACGCAAGTTCGACTGACGGGTCCTGCGCCTAATTTATGTCTGGCAGGAATGGTTGGATCGCCAGGGTCTTTTAATTGTAGAAAGGGGCGTTTGGGTTGTTGGATAATCAGGTGAGATGTACAAGGAGTGTGGAGGATTGTTGTGTGGGATGGGAGTGTTGGCGATTGGGAGTCCGGGCTGCTGGAGGCCCTGAGTGAGGTAGAGGATCCCCGGAATCCCAAGGGAGTGCGCCATCCCTTGCCGGCAGTTCTGGCTCTGTCGGTATGCGCCATGCTGGGCGGCGCCAGGAGTTTGTACGCCATCGCCCAGTGGGGACGGGAACATCCCCAGTTAGCTCAGTCTCTGGGATTCAGCCGGGAGAGGACCCCGTGCGTGGCCACTTTGCATCATGTGTTTCGGCGCTTGGATGCTGATGCCTTCGAGGCAGCGCTGGGCCGCTGGGCCCAGGAGTGCCTGGGGGAGGGGGCTGCCACCATTGCCATAGACGGCAAGGCCCTGCGGGGGATACACGGCGGTGAATTGCCCGGGGTCAGGCTGGTGGCGGCATATGCTGGGGAGAGCGGCCTGGTACTGGGACAAAAGGGGGGTCAGGGGGATCGCAAGGAGAGTGAACTGGGGATGGCCTCCGGACTACTGGCCGAACTGGAACTCAAGGGCAGGGTGGTTACCGGAGACGCCCTCTACGCACAGCGGGAGTTGAGCCGCAGCGATCCTGGAGCAGGGCGGGGACTACTTCTGGGTGGTGAAGGACAACCAGCCTGGGGTGAGAGAGGCGGTGAGTCTGCTGTTCGAACATCCGCCTTGGGGCGAGAGCTTTGGCGAGGCTTACCAGGAGGGCCGTCATGGGGACCGGTGGGAACACCGGCGATTGTGGGCATCGGCAGCCTTGAACGGGTACTTGGATTGGCCGGGGTTGGGACAGGTCTGTTGCGTGGAACGAACCAGGAGGCACAAGGGCAGGGAGACGGTGGAGCGGGCTTACGCCATCACCAGCCTCCCGCCGGAGCAGGCGGATGCTGCCAGGTTGCTGGAGATCTGGCGGGGGCACTGGAGGATAGAAAACAGGCTGCACTGGGTGAGGGATGTGGTATTCGGCGAGGACCTGAGCCAAGTGAGGACCGGGTCGGCGCCGCAACTGCTGGCGGCCCTGCGTAACCTGGTAATAGGCCTGTTGAGGCTGAGTGGGGTCAAAAACATATCAGCAGCCCTGCGCCACTACGGCTGGAAACCTTGGGATACCCTGACTCTCATCGGACTACCCCGCAACAATTAAAAGACCCTGGTGGAATCGCTGCCTCGCCTTCCGCCCCGCAGGCTAATTTGGTATACTTGCTTTGCCGCGCCTTGTTTTGGGGACGGCTTCGTTTTGCGCGTTGCGCAGGCTATGGTTAGCCGGATATTTTGTTGTAGTTGAAAAGGCGGTTTTAGGATGCCGGCATACGCCGTAATCGGAGGACAGTGGGGTGACGAGGGCAAGGGGAAGGTCATCGACTACCTTGCCGGGCAGGTGGATAGCGTCGTGCGCTTTGCCGGTGGCAACAACGCGGGCCACACGGTGGTCAACGACGAAGGTGTCTTCCAGCTCCACCTTGTCCCCTCCGGCATCTGCTGGCCCGAGGTTGACGGCATTATCGGCAACGGCGTGGTTGTCGACCCCGACGTCCTGACCGACGAAATGGATATGCTGCGCGGGCGTGGCATCGACACGGGCAAGCTGCACGTCAGTGAGCGTGCCCACGTCATCATGCCCTATCACGTCCTGCTTGACGGTTTGGAGGAAAAGGCACGCGGAGACAGTGCTATCGGCACCACCGGCCGCGGCATCGGCCCCGCCTACGTCGACAAGACCGGCCGGGCTGGCATCAGGGTGGGCGATTTGCTCGACTGGGAGACGCTGGCTCCCAAGCTGAAGACTGTTCTTGAGCAGAAGAACGCCATCATAACCAAGATTCACGGCGCAGAACCGCTGGCCTACGAGGACGTGAAGGCCAAGTGCCGGCAGTGGGCCGAACAGTTGCGCCCTTACGCTCATCCCACCGAACAGATCGTGCAGGACCGCTTGGCAATGGGCAAACGCGTGCTGCTGGAAGGAGCGCAGGGGACCCTGCTGGACCTAGACCACGGATCTTATCCCTACGTCACTTCCTCTTCGCCATCCATCGGCGGTGCCTGCACCGGCCTGGGACTGAGCCCTCAGTCCATTGCCGGCGTTCTCGGCGTGTTCAAGGCCTACTCAACGCGGGTTGGCGGCGGGCCGATGCCATCTGAAATCGAGGATGACTTCGCCGAGAAAATTCGTGAAATCGCCCAGGAATACGGCACCACCACCGGCCGTGCCCGGCGCATCGGCTGGTTTGATGGCGTGGCCGCCAAGTACAGCCAGCTCGTCAACGGTTTCACCGGCCTCGTGCTCACCCGCCTGGACATCCTGGATGGCTTCGAGTCTGTCAAGATCTGCGTCAGCTACCGAGTCGACGGGCAAGAGGTTGATCGATTCCCGGCCAACACGTCTCTGTTGGCCCGCTGCGAGCCCGTATACGAGGAGATGCCAGGCTGGAATGAGCCAACGGCCAGCGCCACAAAGCTGTGCCAGCTACCTGCCAACGCCGTGGCCTACATCCATCCGGGACGCATCGAGGAACTGGTGGGCTGCCAGACGTGCAGATCGTGTCCACCGGCCCCAGCCGCGCGGAGACCATCCTACTCAGCCCAATCTTCTAGTGATGGAGAGGGTGCGGTGACCTCCATCCCCACCACTACCGACCTGCTGCGCCTGCTGAGGGAGGATCCGGACTTCCGGGATCAAGTCCGGAGTCTGTTGCTGACACAGGAACTGATCGAGTTGCCGGAGCGCTTCGCCCGCTTCGAGACATACGTGGAGCGGCATTTAGCCGAGATAAGTGCCAACGTTTCCAAAAACACCGGCGACATCGGCAGGTTGAGAGGCGCAGAGTACGAGCGCCGGGTAGGGCGCAGTTTTGCAAGCTATGCCAGCATGGCGTTTCGGCAGCGCCACGGCAGGCGTCTGAGCCGGAACCGGCTGCTTTTCAGCGGTATCCTCGGAAGAGATAGCGGGTACGAAGAGTTGATTGCCGATGCCGTTGACGACAGCATGATTTCCGACGATGAAAGGGCGGAACTGGAGCAGGCTGACGCGGTGATGAGTGGACAGGACGGGAGCGCGACTGTGTTCTACGTTGGCGAATTTTCCATCACCGTCAACCACACCGACTTAGACCGCGCGATTGCTCGAGCTGCCGCCCTCAGCAATGTGACCGGCTGCGATGCTTGGCCCATGGTCATTGGCGAGACTATACCTGACCCGCAAAGGGCGAGGGCCGAGGCAGAAGGGGTGGCGTTGAGGCAGGTGGCAGAGCAGTCCTGATTCCGCGCATGTTGACTACGAGGACACAGTAAATCAGCAGCCCCGCGAATTGGCGGGGCCGGCTCATTTCTCGGGGGCATGCCGTAAACGGCTAGACCGGCAGGTCGATGGTGTACTGCGACATCACCTTGTCGATCTCGGCGGCGGCCTTCTCCGAGGCGGGGATCAGCGGCAGGCGCGGGTTGCCGACGTTGAAGCCGGCCTTGTTCACGCCGTACTTGACCGGGATGGGGTTGGACTCGACGAACAGGACCTTGAACATCGGGAGCATCCGGCGGTGCTCAGCGGCTGCCGCCTCGACGTCGCCCTCCAGCAGCAGACCCATCATCTGCTTGATCTGGCTGCCGATGAGGTGCGAGGCCACGCTGACCACGCCGTAGCCCCCGGTGGCCATGATGTAGTAGGTCTCGTTGTCGTTGCCGCTCCACACCAGGAAGCCGGGCCGGGCTCCGTCGATGATGCGGGTGATCTGGTCCATGTCGCTTCCAGCTTCCTTGATGCCCACGATCCGCTCGAGCTCGCTAAGCCTGATGGTGGTCTCGTGGCTCATGTTCAGGCTGGTGCGGCTGGTCACGTTGTACAGTATGGCCGGCAGGTTGGTGCTTTCGGAGATGGCCTTGAAGTGCTGGTAGAGGCCTTCCTGTGGAGGTTTGTTGTAGTAGGGCACCACCAGCAGCATCCCGTCCACGCCGGCCTTCTCCGCCTCCTGGCTGAGCTCGATGCTCTCGGCGGTGCTGTAGTTGCCAGTGCCGGCAATGACCGCGCCCCGGTCGCCGACCGCATCCTTGACCTCGCCGTACAGGCGGATCTTCTCGTCCGTAGTGAGCGTGGGCGACTCGCCGGTAGTGCCTGAAACGATGACAGCGTCGCTGCCGGAGTCAAGAAGGGCGTTGGCAAGCCGCTTGGCCTGTTCGTAGTCCACCTTCCCCTCGGCGTCGAACGGTGTGACCATTGCGGTTATCAGCCTGCCTATTTCAACCATGGTTGCCCTCCATCAAATGATAATGCGGAAATGCTTGATCTCTCTTTGTCGCCCATTATACGCGGGGCTGTCACACTCGCAACCCTGGTGTCCCGCTGGGATGCGGTGTCCTTGGCGCGGGTAGCCGGGAAGCAAGCTAGGCCTGGACGGAAGCGTTTGCGGCGCGCGGCTTGAGGCGATTGCGGGACAGCAGTTCCTCGGCGATCTGGAGGCTGTTGAGCGCTGCGCCCTTGCGCAGGTTGTCGGAAACGATCCACATCGCCAACCCGTTGGGGTTTGAGAGGTCCTGCCGAATGCGGCCGACGAACACATCGTCCTGACCGGAGACGTCCCACGGCATGGGATAAGCGGCATTGGCCGGGTCATCCAGCACGGTCAATCCCGGCATCCCTGCCAGTGCTTCCCGGGCCTCGCCCACGGACACCGGGCGGTCGAACTCGATGTGCACCGCCGCGCTGTGGGACACGTAGACCGGCACGCGGACGCAGGTGGCGGAGATCAGCAACTCCGGCTCGTGGAGAATCTTCCGCGACTCCTGCCGCATCTTCTGTTCCTCGTAGGTGTAGCCGGTGTCCATGAACCGGTCGATCTGTGGAATCAGGTTGTAGGCGATCTGTCCCGGCTCGCTGGCGGTGCTGCTGTGGTCGGCATCGATGAGCCGCTCCGACTGCTCGCGCAGGCCCGCAACCAGCGACGCACCCGCTCCGGATACCGACTGGTAGGTGTCGGCGATGACACGGCGGATGGGACTGAGCTCACGCAGGGGGTGCGCGGCCATGACCAGCGGCGTGGTGGAGCAGTTGGGGATGGAAATGATGCCCTCGTGCCACTCCACGTCTTCGCCGTTGACCTCGGGCACCACCAGCGGCACGTTGGCCTCCATGCGGAATGCCGAGCCGTCGTCGATGACCACCGCACCGGCGGCCACGGCATGGGGGGCCAGTTCCCGGCTCACTGCAGAGCTGGCCGATATGAAGGCGACGTCCACGCCCTCGAAGGAGTCCGCCGTGGCTTCCTCGACCACCAATTCTTCGCCGCCGACAACGATGCGCTTGCCGGCCGAGCGCTGGGACGCCATCAGCCGCAGGCGGGGCATCCCGCCCTTGACCGCCGCCTTCCGCCTATCAGGTGCATAACGCTGCTCGACGATGCGCAGGAACTCTGCGCCCACGGCTCCGGTAGCGCCAACAACGGCAATGGTCAAGTCTTCCACAGGAATCTGTTCCTCCTTGGCGTGAAACTCACCAAATTACTATATCAGACGCAGATTGCGTGAAGCCCGGCCACGGACATAGCCTCAAGGCCCTAAAGGCCGAGGACCTTCTCAAGGCCCACCACCAGGCCGGGGCGGGCGTTGGCCTCGCGGATGCAGCGGACTACGCCGGGCATGTAGCAGTCGCGGCCCAGGGTGTCGTGGCGCAGGGTGACGGTCTGGCCGGCGGCGCCGAAGACCACCTCGTGGTGGGCGCTCCTCCCGGGAAGGCGAACGCTGTGTACAGTGACGCCGTTGACGTTGCCGCCACGCGTCTCGGGCAGGTTCTCTTTCTCCGTCACATTGCGGGAGAACTGCTTCTGCTCGGCCAGGCTGTTGGCCAGGGCCAGTGAGAAGCCGGAGGGTGCGTCGATCTTCATCTCGTGGTGGGATTCCACGATGTCGACGTAGTCGAAGAAGGGCGCGGCCTGTTCCGCCAGCTTTTTCAGCACGATGGCCCCAAGAGCGAAATTGGGCGCAACAATGATGCCCACGCCGTTGTCGTTGGCGAGGGCGTCCAACTGCGCGTGGTGGTCCGCGTTAAGGCCGCTGGAACCCAGCACCAGGTTGACCTTGCGGGCAGCGGCTATGTGAGACGCCTCCATGCAGACGCCGGAGTTGGTGAAGTCCACCATGGCGTCGGGGCGGGTGTCGTCCAGGATCTGTGACAGATCGGTTGACAGCGGGACGTCGCCGGAGGGCGTGGACAGCACGCCGCCTCGATCGGTGCGGCACACGGCCCCGACCAGCTCCATATCACTTTCGCGGCAGACGGCGGCGACGGTTTCGACGCCCATCTTGCCGGTTGCGCCATGGATCACCACTCGAATCGCAGCCATCTCTTCCTCCCTACGGAGCGCTTGAATCCAGCATTCAGAAACTTGCCCTGATTAAAAGCGAAGAGCGCAGAGAAAAACAAGCTCTCTGCGCCCATTGGCATCAATTGTTGAGTTTTGGCCTATGCTTGAGGGGCGCCGGGGGCCCGGCCACCGCCGTCGAAGCGGCGATCCCCTCCGGCACCCGGGGCTGGGCCGCGTCCGCCGCCGCCCATGGGAGGCCGGCCGCCGCCGTTGCGGTTTCCGCCGCCGCCGCCGCTGCGCCCACCGGGGCCGCCGCGTCCACCGCCGCCGAATCCGCCGGGACGTCCACCCCGGTCGCCGCCGCGTCCGCCGCCAAAGCCGCCGGGGCGGGCGCCCTCAGGGCGCGGTGCGGGCGGGCTGTCGTCGCCGAACAGGGCGCGACGGGAGAGGTTTACCCGGCCCTGCGAATCGATTTCATGGATCATCACGGTGATTTCCTGGCCTTCGACCAGGTCTTCTTCCAGGTCGCCAAGGTCACCGTTGCGGATTAGACCGTCGCGGCCCGGCACCAGCTCAATGAAGGCGCCGAAGTTGGTCAGACGCACCACCTTGCCGGTGAAGATGTCGCCAATGGCCAGCTCGCGGGTCAGGCTGTCGACCTTGGACTGGGCCATTTCCAGCTTGGTCTGGTCGACGCCGCCGATGGTCACCGTGCCGTCGTCCTGCACGTCGATGTTGGTTCCGGTTTCTTCCTGGATGGCACGAATCACCCGTCCGCCGGGGCCGATGAGCGCGCCGATCTTGTCGGGGTTGATCTTGAGACGGATCATCTTGGGGGCGTGGGGGCTCATCTGGGTCTTGGAGACGGTGATGACCTCGGCCATCTTGCTCATGATGTGCAGCCGCCCAATGCGGGCCTGCTCCAGGGCCTCTGCCAGGATCTCCTGGGTCAGGCCGGTCCACTTGATGTCCATCTGCAGGGCGTTGACCCCCGCGGCGGTGCCGGCCACCTTGAAGTCCATATCGCCTAGGAAGTCCTCGATGCCCTGGATGTCACTCAGGATGGCGTACTGCCCGTCTTCGCTGGTCACAAGACCCATGGCGATGCCGGCCACCGGCTCAGTGACCGGAATGCCAGCGTCCATGAGGGCCAGCGAGGTGCCGCAGACGCTGCCCATTGACGTGCTGCCGTTGGAACTGAGCACCTCGGACACCACGCGAATGGCGTAGGGGAACACGTCCTCAGAGGGCAGGGTGGGAAGGATGGCACGCTCGGCGAGGGCGCCGTGGCCGATCTCGCGGCGTCCCGGGGACCCGACGCGCCGGGCTTCGCCGGTGGAGAAGGACGGGAAGTTGTAGTGGTGCATGAACCGCCTGGTGTTGTCGGGCCCTACGGTGTCCAGGGTCTGTCTCATCGACAGCGACCGACGGTGACAGTTGAGAGCACCTGGGTCATGCCGCGGGTGAACAGGCCGGAGCCGTGGGTGCGGGGCAGAATGCCCACCTCGCAGAGATGGGGCGGATTTCCTCCAGCGCCCGTCCGTCGGGGCGGAGGTGCTGTTCCAGGATGCGGCGGCGCACCTCGTCGCGCATCACGCTCTTGAAGCCCTCGGAGAGTGCCTTGTCGCCGAATTCCTCGGCCAGCTTCTGCGAGACCTCGTCGCGCAGGGCGTTCTCGCGGGCCTCCAGGGCCACCTTGTCCAGGTTCTCGCCCACGGCGTCGGCGAGGCGGGTGCCAATGACCTCACGGATGCTGCCTTCCAGCTTGGCAGTAGGCGTCCTTGTCGGTCTTGACCTCGAGCTTGGGTTGACCCACCTGGGCCACCAGCTCCTCAATGAGGGAGATTATCTCGGCGTTGGCATCCTGGGCGCGGCCGATGGCCTCGAGGATGACCTCCTCCGAGACCTCGTTGGCGCCCGCTTCCACCATGATGATGGCGTCGCGGGTCCGCCGATGACCATGCTCAGGGTGCTTTGATCGCTCTCTTCATAGGTGGGGTTGATGATGTATTCATCGTTGAGGTAGGCGATGCGGCAAGCGCTGACGGGCCCTTCGAAGGGTATCTGGGAGATGGCCAGAGCCGCGGACGCGCCGATCATAGCCAGTATTTCCGGCGGGTTCTCCTGATCGGAGGACAGCACTGTCAGGTGATCTGGATGTCGTTGTGCAGGCTCTTGGGGAACAGCGGGCGGATGGAGCGATCGGTGAGCCGCGAAGCCAGGACGCCATCCTGTCCCGGCCGGCCCTCCCGCCGGAAGAAGCTGCCGGGGATGCGCCCTGCTGCGTAGAGTCTTTCTTCGTAGTCCACGGTCAGTGGGAGGAAAGTCGATGTCCTCGGCGCGGGGGCGGTCCGACATCACGGCGGTGGCCAGAGACGATGGACTCGCCGTAGCGGACAGTGACGGCGCCATGGGCCTGGAAGGCGAAGCGCCCAGTTTCGAGGACCAGGGTTTCGCCGCCGATCTCACGGTGGACGACGGTAGGGGATGCGAGTTGAGTAGCCATAAAAAAACGCACGACCTCACTTAAAAGTGAGTTAGTGGGGAAGACAGCAGGGGGGGCGACGTGGCTAGACGATAAACAACCCCGAGATCGTCGGGGTTGTCGGCGACATTTTACCGGCGGAGGCCAAGCCTAGCTATCAGTGTCTGGTAGCGGTTGACGTCCTCGTTGCTCAGGTAGTTGAGCAGGCGTCGCCGTTTCGAAACCATACCCTGCAGACCGCGTCGGGAATGAACGTCCTTGCGGTGTATACGCAGATGGTCGGTGAGCTGCTTGATGTTTTCGGTGAGTACCGCGACCTGGATCTCGGCAGAGCCTGTATCCTTGTCGTTGATGCGGTATTCGCGGATGATTTGCGTTTTCGTTTCGCCGTCTAGCATATTGGCGTCTTGGCTCTTGCTTCTTCTTTTTCTAACTTCATCGAGAATCTTATCACGATCGGCGGCAAGATGGCAATGGGGGCGGTGACGGTGTCATCGGAAATGTCTGGGCTATCTCATTTGACTGCAGGGATCGTGGCTTGGCAGGGAACCGAGTATGGCCATGCGGGAGGAGCAGACCCGAGAGGGAATGAGGAGTCTCCGCGGGACAAATGGGAAGGAATACTTCCCACGGTGTCCCAAAATGTCCCATGCTGTCCCATTTTGCCCCCTGATTCACGCTATTTTGTAGCTGAAGTGTCCCCTGCGGGACAGAAAATTTTTGTTTCCGGTTCCATTTTGTCCCATTCTGTCCCACTCCTGCTTTTCGTGCCGTTTGGACAGCCCATGTCTCTGCTGCTGCGCGACGGCACTAGAAGC